TTTCCTCCAACTTTAATTGATCAGTAAATATATTTGCAGAACTCAAAAGTACAAGAGTGATTTTTCTACCATCTTTTACAAAAGAATACCTATTCAAATAGCCATCATACATAACCCTCCTATCAAATTGTCATGGTCGGCCAAGCAATATATCTCCAGCTTGCATTGGTAACACATCACAAAGAATTTCATCTTTATATTTTCCCAAAGTAAAAGATATTAAAGCTTGGGAAACTACCTTCATTGTTCCACTATCATTGAGCCATTGGAGCTTGTAAGGTTTAGGATGATCTTGGGTTGAAATTTGCAACCTTTTGATCAACATGGTACTTACAATATTGGTGCAACTTCCACTATCAATGACAAGACTACAAGCAGTCCCCTTGACTAAACACCACGTGTGGAACAGGTTGTCTCTTTGATCATCAACATCATTCTCTATAACTTGAGTTTTAACAAGTCTTCTTGTTATAAGTGCCAAATGAATCCCATCTTCCAGTTCCTCCTCATTCTTCTGAACTTGTTCAACTAGATCATTGATCTCCCCTCCATTTTTCTCGTCTTGGTTCATGATTGTACAAACAGTAGTTAAATATATTTAGGACCTCAAACACTCAACTCACTGATTTTACACTCAGGGACACTCGTGTTTATACACACAAAGATAGGCTGTTTGGGAAAGTGACTAAATTATGATCAAGGTAGGCTAATATATGGGTAAAGCAATTCTGATAGTAGCAAGCTATTCAAAGCAATCAAGATAAGTTAATTATGAAATAACAACAAAATAAAACAAGAAGTGAACCAACAAATAAGAGACACAAAGATATTTTGGGATAGAATTGCACACTTAAAAAAATGAATTCCAAAGAGAATGGTCGTGAAGATTTGAGAACGATTTAACTTTCCTTTTTACAAAATTCGGAAAAATTTAGAAGTTATCTTCGGTTTTAAATGATGAAAGAAAAATATCGAACACAACAATTCTAAATTTATATGCTTTACGAAAAAATGAGAATTGAAATTTATTTGATCTTCAAATAAACGTGCAAATGGTCTGATGATAAGGATTTATAAATACAACACTAATAACAATATGATACGAATTTTTTTTTTGTTTTTTCTTCCCAGATCTAAATATGATCTCTAGTAGGACAATAAGAACAAGAACAAGGGGGAAAGATAATGAAGAACGGTGGAAATGGAAGTAAGAAAATAAATGGATGAATTAAAAGAAACGATAAACAATAGCAGAAATGAAAGATAAAATCAATTCTAGAGTCGGCCACAAAGATGCAACCTACGCTCTGATACCAAACTGATAAGGCAACCCTAATCCTCAGGGGGCTGCTAGATGAAGGGAACGGACTCTGATGGTATTATATGCAAGATGATTTGTATTGGTGGTTGAAATGCCTGGTCCTGGTAAGAGGGAGGGCAGCTCCTCTTACCAATCAGTTGTAGTAGAAGAAGCGTTAAGGGATTTAGGCACTCGACACTCCCAACGATCCAAACTTTTGTTTTAGCAAGAACCCTTGAATCAAAGTAATTAACATCTCCTTATACGAAATTTGAATCAACCCAAGAGATAAGGCTAGAATTAGATTATCTCTTACAATCAAAGATCTAGAAGCAAGATTTGGAACCTTGCTCTAAATTGAGTCACTCCACAATCTAACTTGATCAAAGCTTGATTGAATGGCTCGGGTGCAATTCTATCATAAGAATTGCTTGAAACTTAGAAATGACAAATATGATGCTCGAATTTCTAAGGAAAACGTCTCAATTTGAGATCTGAATTACATTCATCCACGAATCTGAATTTTACCTAACATATTGTGAGTATTTATAATCTCCCGACAAAAGACATTTGTGGACGGGATTTATTTCTGATCCCCTTTAATCTCCACAAAAGAATAAGTCAAATTGACCATTTGACTTTTACCTAATTTATGAAATTAAAAATAATTTTTTCTAATAAATGTTGATGTGCTTGAGTCACTAATGCGACAGGTTTGAAATCAATTGAGCTCTATGTGTGTAGGTTCGAATTCTATTGACATATTTTTTTAATCTTCTTGGCAATAGGTCCATTTGGATTTTTTGAATCTTCTTGAAATCAATTGAGCTCTCCGTGCGTAGGTTCGAATTCTATTGACATATTTTTTTTAATCTTCTTGTCAATAGGTCCATTTGGAACACCGTGATTCTTATCAGGTTCTAATAGGGCCATTTGGAACACTGTGATTCTTATTAGGTTTTAATAGGTACATTTGGAACACCATGATTTTTATCAGGTTCTTATAGGTCCATTTGGAACACCGTGATTCTTATAGGGGGTTTGGTCCATTGGAAATTTGTGGTCTTAAGTCAACTTGAAAACCGCTCTAGTTCTTGAACCCTAATCTTAACGTGGTTCGCTCGTGCATGCATTGTTAGGGAAATATTCCTATTGATCACCTAAAGAATGGGAAACATAATCTATTTATTCATCCATGCTTATTATGGAGATATCCTTATTAATCACCTAAAGCATAGAAATCATAATATAAACATTCAAGCAAACTCAACAGAGAGATAACATCTATCAATCACAATGAGTATAGATCACAATATCTCATCCTCCATTCTCGCACAATTGAAAGCATAAAATTCGGCATGCATCACAAATTTCCTTTATGGAGTCCTAATCATGCATACTCTAACCACCTCAGGTAAGAAATGCTCGTACACTAACACGTATTAGCGATCCCTACAATTCGAGTGTCACTTATATTGATGAAGTGTGCCTTCCTAAGAAGGCTTTTTCATTTGTTACGGACTCCAATTTTTTTAAAAAAATCTCTCGGAGGTGATTCAAGTCATATTAAGATTAGTATTGAAATCAGTATAAAAATAGTCAAACGAAGGTCGAACAGGCAAAAAAGAGAGAATACATGCACTTCACGTGCCTCCCACACACGTTCTAAGGCAAGCTCGCGATCGAGTCGGGTCAAGGTTTGGATCTAGGAAGACGGGTTTGCAAATCGTGTCGTGCTCGAGTTATTATGTTGAATTAGGTCGACCTCTACTGATGTGATACATGTCGCTTGCCTTGCCAAACATGTCTCCCCTTAAGCTAGTCAACCCGTGTCTTGCTCCTATGTCGACATGTATCCCAATTGTTGCTTGACACGTATCCTCTTCTCGTTCTAGATCTGCGTATTCGAATTCCTATTTTTTTTTTCCTATTTCTCGATTATTTTCTATTTTCTTTAACTTTTTGTACTTTTACGTAACATGAATCAAGTTGCTTCCTTCACCAATGTGGTAGAGTTTTAATCCATATTTCTAGCAAAATTAATTTTTCCTAATTTGTTAACTATACACAAAAATAAACTTGTCCAAATAATTCTCAAAACCGTAAACATCACGATTCTTCATGTTTGTTAGAACTCGAACTTCCAAATTGATTCAACTTAGCTTCGTTCATGAAAGTTGTAAGAAATCCTTCCAAGAACAACATATCAAAATGTCAAAACCTAATTTCAAAAAATCTTTCAAATCTTAAAGAAAATCGAAAAATGAAAACTTGAAATCTTACCTCTCATGATGGATTTGAGCATAGTTTTCCAATGTCTACCGAATGGTTCTCGCCTGTGAGCGGCTTTGTTTCCAATGTCTACATCGCAAGCATATATTATAAACTTCAAAGAAGTTCAAATTAACACGAGATAGAGTTCTTACCAAATGAAATTAAGTTTCATTAAAGTTGAACTCAAGTGGCAATTAATATGACATTTAGAAGAATGAAAGCTTCGTTGCAACAACTTCAAGATACTTCAAATAAGGCTTCATTTACGGTTAGATAGTTACAAATTTTTGGTCGATAATTGAAATCTAGATTAATGGTGTTTCATTAATGTATTTTATGTTTTAAGACTTTTTATTTACTTATTGGGTTACACATGATGACTAATTATGGTAATAAAATTCGAAGATTACAACTCTCGAAAATCAAGAGTTTCATTTTGGGACTTTATAAACCATTTGTGTTATCTTTATAAAATAAACTTAGAAAATGTAGTAAATAGAGCATTTGTGCTTTCTTCTACGTCTAGAGCTAAGTTTTTTCATGCTTAGAATCATTGAAGTTTAACTGGATGACTTTGGCTTGTGGACTAATTTGAATCTCAAATAAGTTTGGTTAGTTTGAAATATTCGGTCAACAACGTAATTCGATTCTTACTTACCTTTGTAGTAATTTCTTATCGTTTTAGGGTTCTTGAATTGTAACGCTTGAGCTCCGACGAGAATTAATTTTTTAATTTTATTTTAAAATTTCAACTTGTAGAATTTTATTTTGAGGGCTCCATGGGCCAAATCTCAAGATGGATAAGAAAAAAAAAATTCATGAATAAAGAAAATAAAATTATGGAAAAATGGGTCAAAACGGCTACAGTCTCAGACGACTTTTCAACTCTGAAATTAGAAAATCCAATGGGCCCAATACACTCTAAATGGGGCCCAAAACCGTCGAAATTGGAGAAAGAATTTTAAAAAACAAAAAGTCGGAAGCCTTTCTCTTATATCAGTATCAGAGCCAGGTTTCGATCCTGGGACCTGTGGGTTATGGGCCCACCACGCTTCCGCTGCGCCACTCTGATTTGTTGAACATTTAATTTTTCCAAAAAATTATTTTATCCTCAATACGCATTAAAAAGTTCAATTAATAACAATTCTATTTATTTTTATATATCGATCTACATTTGTTTGTTGAAGTGTTGTTATAATTGGTTTAAAAGCTTGAACAATTTAACACGTCTAGGCATTAGAATCCTTTTGAATGCAAAGATGAACTTTCAAACATGAAAATGAAAATGCAAAGTGAACGTTTAGAGAAAGAAGTAAAACGAGATACTTTATACATTATAATAATGAATCTTTCAACATAAAAACTCGGTATCATATCCAAATATCCGAATCTAGTTACTATCATAAGACATGAGGAACCCTTAGACTTTGCTTAATGGAGTTTTATTCTTACACTAAATATGTCGAAGCAAAAACATGTCATAGAAAATATTTACACGAACACAACTCAAGAGTTCTGTTTTGATCGAACTTGCGATTTGAAAGAATTTGGGAATTGCATTTATTTTCAACACAGTTGATACCAACCAAGACCAAATAAACTCAACCTTCGTGACCAAATAAACTATCACAATATTTTACTTGCACCAACAACAATACCACCCATGTTTATAAACTCTTCAATTGAGTTCCTTGTCAAAGAGTTGCAAATGGGAAAGGCAAGCCCCTCCTAGCCTTCATATTCACAATGTTCAACAATATTTTGTCCCTTTCCCTTCCAGAAATGTTCTTGTGGCGACTGTTTCTTCATTTACCTGTTCATATGAGCAACACATAATTACATTGTAACAACAACTGTAAATCAGAGATAACATTTTCGAACATTCTTCTCATAGAGGCGTCTTTGCAAATTGGAACTAGTCTCAGTTAACGAGCCTAAGAATGTCTAAACGCCTCGAAATAACTAAACATAAAAACCCAAGGGAGGAAAGAACATCTGATTAAACAAAATAAAAATAATGGGACATCATCCATGCAGATTCAAGATTTGAGTAAACCGTAATCGAGACTACTAGTAACTGCCACCATATACCTCGCAATGCAAAACAATTCTTTGTTCCCCTCACCATATATCGTTCTTTCAATATTATCGGAACCTAGACATTGAAAGAAGAATGATGCCAAATGAATTTATCGAATGGCTTGGCTTTATACGGTTTATAGAAGGGAAGAACATATCATTAACAATCGCCGATGTACAAAAGAAAAAGGATGTTTAAACCATTGTCGTCTTTATCAATGTAACTTTGACAATCAAGTTGAGAACTATGATAAGAAGTGAGAGATGAACTCAACAAAGCTCAAGTATTAAGAAAGCATAATTCAAATCTAGAATCGAGGAATATGGTTGATTCCAATATGGAAGGACCGAGAACTGTTCCTTAAATAACACAAGAGGATATTATGTTGTGAAAGGTGAATCCTGGGTTCAACCAAGCCGAGTGGTCGATGAAGGTACAGCGGTGTTACTATATCCCTAGTGGAGGGAACTACAACCCATCGCTTACTATGCTGAACAAGATGGTTGGATCAAAGGATTCAATTCGGTAAAGAGCCCAATGTCATCCCTATTACTCATCTACAGTTTGTCAATGGCGCTACTCTTTTCGTAACCTTTTCAACATTATCAAACGCCTTGAAGAAGCAACGAGCCTTAACATAAATTGCCGAAAATTTGATGGACATCAGTATCAACTTGCAGTTGTCCCATCTTGCCAATAAATTAGTATCAACAAGCAGGAGGCTCATTGGTGTTAGGTTATTGCCTCCAAATATGGTTCCATCCACTTTGACCTCAAACTGGATTCCAAAACCATGCATTCTTCCTACAAGTCGTTAAAATGCACAAATAACTTGAAACAAATGCTTTATGCACATATTTCCTAGGTCGGTAACAATCACCGCACATCCTTTAGGAAGGATGTTTGGATAGGAGTCTCAAATCTTCAGAAACTTTCCCTGGGCTTTAGTACTTATCGAGCAAGAAAGACGCACCTATTGCTGTACTTTGGGATCCTTCATCTCCGTAGAAATCTCATGAAGCCTGAAATTGAAGAGCGCGCCACTTTATCCACTATTTAATTGCCCCTTCATGATTCAACCTAAGACTCTTGGCACTCGGCTTTGGGAAAGGATGGTATTTTCCCATCGAAATCATTCTCAAGGGCTTTATCAACAGCCAATGTGTGCACGAAATCAGCTATATCTATAACCATATTTGGGTTGGTCGTTGTCCAAGAAAGGTGAAATTATTTATATGGGAGCTTAGCCACTCTTAGCATTAATACTTTTGTTAAGCTCCAATGCCGTCCTCAATGGCTATACTTATACCCCAGCTGCTGCCCTATATGCTATAGCAACAATGAAACATCATTCCACCTCTTCAGTAATTTCCTTTGCCACCAAATTCAGGAATTTCTTACAAGGTGTTTTTGGTTGATGCTTTCCTTACTAGAATAATAATCTTCTTTTTTGGGGCACCCTCTTTCAAAACGAACAAAAAGATCCTTTGGCTTACCCATGTTTGTGTTTTCTGTTGGAGTCTTTGGTCGGAACAAAACACTCGCATCTTCTTGGACAAGAATCGTGGCAATGCCTATTTATTGATTCTACTTCTCTTTTAGCTTGCTCCCCTTTTGTATTATAACCTCGACACCCTTGCTAGGGAGGTGTTTTTTTTTATAATTATTTCTCAATAGGAGCTTCTTTTGTATCCCATTTCATCATATCAATGAACGGTTATTGTTTCCTATTAACAAAAATAATTTTCATGTGGGGTTTCTCTTTAAAGCTAACCATCTTTATGTTCCACATTGCCAGTAAGAGAATTCATTCTCACTTCAAGTGAGGTAGCTTAGAGGAAATTTGGGAAGGATAAAACTTTGACCCTTATTTAACAAAACTTTTATTGGCAATAGGTCGAAAGAGATATAGGGTATGAGAATATATACACAATTGTCATGTTGTCAAGAGTTCTAAGAATTTCTAGTTTATGGTTTAGAATAGGTTAAAAATATTGATTACAGATACCAAAATAAAATAAATAAATAAACTACCAAAAATAAAACAAACACAGCCCATCCATCCCAAAAAACCAGAAATATAAAGAGCTTACTCCAAACTCCAACACTCAAAAGCCTACAAGAACAACAAAAAGAACCAAAGAAGTGCAGAAAAATGAACCATCCTTTCTTTGTAATTATTCATTTTATCAATGAAAATTGTTATTTGATGAAACGTTCAAAATTTTTAAGTCATTTATGCACACGTCTTAGTTCTTCTTTTCATCCTCAAAAGAACTAATGGTAAATCCGGAGTTGTCAACTGAAGTTTGAGGTATCTTCTAAGACATTATGCAGGAAAGAATACTCGTCAATGGGATCTCATCCAACCTCTTACGGAATTTTCTTATGATCAATCTACAAGCAAACTACACATTATGGTCCTAAAGTGGTTTATGTCCTTAGATTTAAAGACTTATCAGTACGCTGGACTTTGTTCTGCACTCTATTGCTCATATTATAGTGTTGAAGATGATAAATATGCCCAGAATTTCAAGATTAGAACGAGTTGAGATAAGATATTTTTTAAAAAAAAACAAGGACAAGAAGGATGACAACATGCATCAAAGACATTAAAGTCAAAGAAAGTGATCTAATATGGATTCATCTTCAAAAGGAGAGGTATTGACAAAGAAACTGCTTAATTTTCCAAGTCTCATAACATGTAAGCCTAACTAGACAATTAATATACCATTCAACGTTTTCAAAAGAGAGTTATGGGCGGTCTAGATTGATCAAGTTGCTTTTTCCATAGCAGAAATAGTGTGTTTATCAGTTTTTACAAATATTTGAAACATCTATAGCCCTGTAAATTGTGGCTTTCAATTTTGTTTGGAGAAGTGTAGTTACCAATTAACTTGTTCAAACCTTTCAGATCTTTGTTCTTTAAGCCTTTTGGCAACCTGAGTGAAAGAGAATTCAAAGAAAATCCAAGAAATGAGCTTTTTCCTTCCACTTAGTATCTCTAGGATGAATTCATCATTAACTGGTGTGTTAGTTCAACTCAAAGTTGTCCAACGAGTGTTTGGTGTTGTTTAAGATACTTAAGAGGAAGTACCAACTACATTTGGGATAAACTGCAAGGCAACCTCTTCAAGGCCTTAAAGGAGTATCTGATCTTGTCCCTACTTTAGTGTTATCAAAAGGGCTCATAGGCCAAAGGCTGACCTGAACCGAATCAAAATGACAAATTGGAAAAAGCTTGATTATCAAGAAAACTTTAGATTTCTTTGGAATTGGGCACACAAAATGTTTCCTTAAGATATTTGCTGATCTACTTTTTTCAATTAAAAAAAAAAAAATTGTGGAGCAAAGATCACAGTTCATTCTTTAGTTGCTCTCATGGAATAAACATTTAAAAAGAAAAGAAAAGTTTGAAGTCAAAAAAGCCTGTCATGCTCTTGGTTAACTAATTTTTTTAATTCATGAGTGTCCAGGACAGTTTGTGCACACCTCGACTAATCTCACGAACACCTCACCTAACCCAACAACATGTTGGTGTCCAAGAAACTCGCAGGATAGTGAATCTTAGGTAGGTAGCCACCATGGATGGGACTTATTCCCTCTATAAACCCATGACCCTTATTGAACACCCAATGCTAGCCAAGTTTGATTCCAAATTTCTTGCAACTCCTTTTTCCTAATATTGTGAGTCTGCACCTGCTCCATGACCTAGACTTTGGAGACATCAAAGCTTTTCCATATTAAGCTCACTCAAAAATTCAAATACGTGACCTCTAGGTAGGTGTTACTCAGAGAACGAAGGCATTAGAGCTCTTTGGGGCTGTGATATTGATTATTTCATGTGGAGCAAGCCATTTTAGGAGTTTGGCATCATGTTAGCTATTCATAGGGGCAGTTTTTTGTGGCAGGCTGAGGTGTTTGCTATTTATGGGGCCTCTAGGGCGAGAGGAACAATAAAGTTTTTAGAAGGATCAAACATTCTCCTAGCGATCTTTGGTCCCTTATTAGATTTAATGCTTCTATGTAGGCTTTGGTGACGAAGCTATTCTTTTATTCATTCTCAATGAAAGCATATTTATTCATCAAAAACAAAAAAGGAAAAAAAAGTAATACCTTAACATTAGCTACTATTCAGATTGATTTTACATGATTTCCATGATAGTTTGATGGGTGAACATACAAGAATTTTCGAAGAGTATCATCAAGCAACAAGGAAATTGTACAACCTTCCAACAAGGTAAGTAGTTGGCTATATGACCTGTGACACTTTTTGCAGCCACCAACAACCCCAGTACTGAGCAGGGGAAGATATATTAATAAGTTTTATGGAAGGACCCCTTACTGTCCAAGAGGTTGAAGGTGATTTTGGTGGTACTAGACTAGTAACGTATGCTCATTACATTGAACTAGCAGAAACTATTTACAATACAGATAGTACTCATCACGAATCATATATTGAACAAAATTTGAATTGAAAGAGGTGAAACATTAACAAAGTACTTCTACCCTGAGCAAACTCACTAAAATTTGTATGCAACTCTAGAGCTAGCTTAAATACAAATAAGTAATTACGTGTAACACCTAGAATTTTAAGAAAATAAATAAAAGATTTTTTTTTTTCAAAATAAAAATTAAAAAGAAAGGAAGGAAAGAATGCAGAATGGAATGCACGCAAGTTGGAGAAGATAACCGTACAGTCAACTGTTAGTTTCTCAACCTTGTTTTTAACGAATTTGAAGCTAGTCATTTTCACCCATTTTATTCTTTTGAATTAATTTCGGGAATATTGAGGAATTTTAGAGAAATTTGGAATATCCTCGAAGACCCGAAACAAGCTCAGGAAGTCTACAATCAAGTAACCATATAGAGCAAGTTTCTAAGAAATACTTGCTGGAGTCGATTGGGATTGAGGACAATGATTGAGTATTATGTTTAGGAGCCTAATAATTGTGCTTAGATAATATGAATAGCTTACAACTTTCCTATAAACAGTTATATAGCTTTTGCATACATGATATGTGAACTCTGATAGATCATTAGGCTTTTATGCTTTCCAATATGTTGAGGTTGGATTATTATCACTTAATGAGCATGACAAGCATGTTGTATGACTTTATACGTTTATTATGCATGATTTAGGGTTTGGATAGCCTATTATTGCCCAATTATGAGTTGGACTCCTGCTATGTGTCATAGGGTGCTAGTCATGGTTTCCATAGACCATGAGATAATGTTTCCCGTATTTTGGTCCTAGTACCTAGTCATGAGTTCCATAGCCTCCCTTGGGTTGACCAAGTACCGTGTAGGGACGGATAGGGCGCAACCCGTATTCGTGAACTAACCAACAGAGGTTAGTGTTTACTTGTTACACATGGCTTAGTTATCACCTATAGAGGATTTCAAGAGTCATAAAGGGTATAATATTGAAGTAATAACGGTGGTGCCTAGTGGGGAGAGCCATGGTCTTTTTACTGTTCCAACCTAAGTGGTGTACTGTTCTAGCCTAAAAAGACGAAGTAACAGGTATTTACTGTTCCTAAGACAAGTAGTTTTATTGTTCTAACCTGAGGAAAGTACATGAGTAGGTAGTTTACATTTCCAGCCTGGAAATGCACAGTGACAAGTAGTTTACTAATCTTAAGAACATGTAGATGTTGTCCGACACCATTAGGAAGAATCCACCGATTAGAGCTCAATAGGTAGACATGCATGGAGTACGGTCATCACTTTAGAGCAAAAGGGCTCCTCCAGACTTACGAGTATGACCTAGGGCCTTTCCATGGGCCACAGCAACTTTGAAACCTAGAGCCAAGAGAAAACAGGAAACCCATAGATTGTGAACCTAAAAGGGATTGAATACTCCTTAAAGGAGGTATACAGAGGGCTAGTTACACAATGACCTACAAAGTTTGGTAGAGACATTAAGCCATAGTTTGATTATCACATAGCCAAGTTTCCGTGTGTAGGATTGAGTCCGATAAGAGCCTACAAGTAAGTTACTTACTGAGTATTTTTATACTTATTCCATGTTATTTTTTTTTTTTTTTTTTTTTTT